GTGTTTTAATAGAAGCCTCAAAACATGTTTAAGAAAAAAAAAGAAAAAAAAAAAAGAAAAAAAATGCTAAAGGCAACAGTGTACAAGGATTGAAAGCTTTCCTTGGTGGGCCAGGAGGATCCTCCAGGGTGTGCAGGGCGTTGGGAGATCCCATCGTAGAGCGACTCTTGGTGTTGCAGTGGTTTGCTCGTGCAGGGTGTTCAGCTCCATGCAGATCTCAGGCCCCTGTGGAGGCTGAGCTGGGCACAAGAACACAGCTGGTGGCTGAGGACCGTTGGGCAGGTCAGAGCTGTGGCCCCGGCCACTGGAACAGTGCTCACTTGGCTGCAGCTCCTTAGGATGCAGCTGTCACTGCTGCTTTGGCTGTGAAAGGGAGGATGCCAGCCAGCTGACACAGGCAGCAATGATCCAGGCTCTGTTGGTAATCACATGCTGGGCCTGAAGGTCTCCGTCAGCTGTGTTGTCTCTGGGCCTTCCCCTTCCCTTCATGCAGGGCGGTGTGTAGGGATGGAGAGACTCTGAGCTGAGCTGGAACTTTCATTCTTGTGCTTCCAGGAGGGGCTAGCTGGGAACCCTGCTCTTTTGCAGCCTTTTTACACCAGTCCTTTGCCACCCATCACCCTCCATGACCATGCCACATCCCCTCTCCCTCTGCTGTCAGTTGGTCTCCCAGGTCTTCCTTCCTCACACTGCCCTCCTCCAGGCTTTCACAGGGGTCTCCTGCTCCTCCTTGCCCTGAGCTCTCTGCAGCAGCCCTGTCCTACTGCACTGGGAGGCACTGCTGTTGAAGATCACAGAACGGCTCAGGTTGGAGGGGAGCTCAAAGCCATGGGCAGGGCTGCCCCCCAGCAGCTCAGCCTGCCCAGGGCGCCTGCAGGGTGCTGTCCCTGTGTGCAATGCTGCACTTCTGAATCAGAGCTGTGTTGTGCGATGCCAGCTGCGTGCCACGAGCCGTCCACAGGCTGCCCTAAGTTTCTGACAGAAGAGGCTGAGGTTCTTATTCCCAGGCTCTGGTGGAAGCTGTTTGAACAACTCAGGCTTTTCTGGATGTGCTTCACCCTTCCCATCCTCCATTTTGTAAGGTCTTCCTGCACGCAGCACTGGTGTTCTTTCCTGTGTTTGTTCTCTGACGGGGCTGTAGGATTAAGCACGTGCCCTTCTGCACTCGTAGGGTCTCTGGATCTCTGTAGGACCCCATTCCAGCATGGTGTACCCCATGGGTATCCCACTGTGAACTCAGGGCATTTGATTGCCACATGAACACCAGTTGGAGGATTATCTCTGCAAAGCCAGGCTTTGCTTACTACCTCTCTTGTAGCAGCGCTCACTTTTCCCTGTTAGATACCACAGAAGAAAAGGGAGATTGTCAAGTAGGGAGGGAATGGCAGAACTTTGTGTCATCTTGCAAGCTGCTAGAAAAAGCCGTTGGGTGCTGAAATGTCAACCTGTGGCTGTGTCGATGTGTGTGGATCAGATCTGTAACGAGATGTAGCCACATAATTTAATCTAATGAGGAATACCTTGAGCCAATGGGATATTTTGTAGAGAGCAGTACGAGGGGGGAAGTGCAGCTCTGGATTTCAGAAAGGACTTCACTCTGCTCTCGTGCTCTGTGCTATTTGCAATCTGACTGAGCATCATTTTAAAGGAACAAAGTGCTCACCCCTGCCTTGGCATTTAGAGCAGAGAGGAATAGGGCTAACTTAACCTAAGTCAGCATGCTTTGGACCTGATGTTGTAGCTGTTTGAGTTCTCCATCCTTTCAGAGTGTGCATTTCAGCGTTTCACGTGGGAGGATGTAGCTTGAATGTATGCAGCTTTTTCTCAACTTGAGTGGCCTGAATGGCTGTGGCTTCTCTTGGCTGCACCTCGGGATGTTGGCTGCCAGTATTTGCTTGTAGACATCCAAACACCACTGCCAGCCCCCTGCCCTGCTCATCACCCACCAGCTAGCCTCAGTTAATTTTAAGCCATACTCTGTTCTGTACAAGGAAAGTTTTTGTTGGTCTGTTCTGTTGGCCCCATTGAGATCTCTGCCCGCCGGTACGTTCCCTGCAAACCCTGGGCAGCCTGACAGCAGGAGGGAGACCTGTCCTCCAGTGATAACTAAGAAGTAAAGCCTTTCAACTCAGCAGGCCTGTATACAAAAGGGAAATCCTGGCATTCTTTCAGAGCTGCGGACTTGCAGAGCAGCAGTCAGGGCTCTTCTGCAAAATCGTGCTGCCCTACAGCCAGCCAGCCCTACCCTGACTGCTGTGATGGGTGAACTGTGGGGAGAGGAGGTGCTGTGGAGCACCTCTGCCTGGACGTTGCTCCCAGCCGTGCCCGAGAGCAGCACTGACCCTGTCAGGCCGGGGCAGATTGCCTTCAGCTGGTTGCCCGCTGCTGTGAGCTGTGTCTGTTCTCATGTCTCGTAGTTTATTGCTCAGCATCTCAGCTTGAGTTCTGTGTACTGACTCCACCTAATCACAGCAAAAGGTTTGCCCATGTTTTAACCATGACGTTGCAATGTTTTTTCAGCTCCAAAAAGTAATCATTGGGAAACAGCATTTTTCAGTCCAATAATCAAGCACCTGGAATTAGCTTTCACATTGAGGTAATGGTGACTGACCTGTTCTCTATCATCCCATGGAGAAACTTCCCCAGTCATTTTGTACCATTATATAAATATATATATAAATATAAATATATAAATACAATATGTGAAGACATCTTATTGGTTTTTATTTGAAACAATTTTTAGGCTTGTTTTTGGGTATCTGTGCTGCCTGTAATGTATTGACCTGTTTTATAGGTGCCTTTTTATTAAAAAGACAAATTTCAAAACCTGACCTCTTGCCTCTCGTCCGTGGTCTGTGTGATGTCCTGCAGGGTTGTTCACCGCAGCTGGAGCTTCCTTGCTGGGAAGTTGTGCTCTCAGCAGTCAGCAGGAGGTGCTTCCCATAGTCTGCATGGCCCGACCGCGCAGCTCCTGTGGTTCCTTGTCCTAAGGAGGATTTTGCTGCCTCAGTCGGGGCTGTGCTGTTCTGTCCCATCCTCTGCTGTACCACCAGTGGGTGTTCAACCTTTTGGCTTCCCTGGGCTGCATGTCCATAAGTCACTCTGAAAGTAATGCCTCCTATATATTTCCATGTAAACTGCAGTTGATACAGTAACACTGCTTGATAGAGCAAATTCTCAGCTACAACGTGCTATTTTTTCAACACAGTCCCTTCTATGAGCTATGCATTCTGCTTGGTCTCCAGAAACATGCACCAAGCGTCACTGGGTGCCGTTTTTTCCGCATGGAGGAATTCAATTCCACACCTTTGCTTCATCCTCACTTCCATGTCAGACATCATTGTGTCAGACTGCCCCTCTGCTGCCTTCTGTCACTCGGCAGCAACATGCAATGGATCTTGGTGGGAAGGTTCCACCTCTACTGCTGCACCACCAGCATCCAGCTCTGCTGTGGTGGGCTGACATCATAAAACAGGAGGCATTACTTTCAGAGCAGCCCTCAGAATATAGGATGTAGTCAATGTATGTAAGTAACAAAACTTATTTTAATCTTTAATGTTTTTATTAAAATGGTAAAAAGGGCAACAAAGCCATCAGACTAGCGGGCTATGTGACCTTGTTGTGAAGCTAAGGCACCACTGTGGTTTGGGGCAGCGGTCTCACAGTGTTGGTCAGAGATTTTCAATGCAATATTTCTCTTCTTTCTGTGCCTCATCTCTGAACGTGGCTGCACACAAACGTCTGTGCTGCCAAAGCCCCACGGCCTGGTCTCAGCCCACGGGGCGGTGTGGGGCAGAGCTGCCACCACGATGTGGGGCTGTGTGTCAGACATGGCTGCTCTCGCCTCTGTGGCTTGAAGCAGCTCTTCTTCAACTGCTGTCAGTGAGAAACAGCCTCATTTTCCTCTGTTCCCTGCTGCTGCGGATCCCGTCCAGCGCTGTTTGAGCACACCTGCTCCCAGCCACCCCTCCTGGGCAGCGGTGGGTGACGGCGTGGGGCCCAGCTGCGAGCACAGGGGCATCATTGTGAGGATGCAGGTCCTCTTCTTGATAAGGAAAATGAAACCCTGCGTGAGTCACAGCGAGCTGCACGAGGGCGGGTGGGGAGCCCCAGCTCTGCAGCACTCCCAGGCACGCGTTCATTCATGCATTCACTGGCTTTGTGCACGCTCTGCTGCCTGTCACGGCCCCACGGCCGCTGTGTGGGGCAGGGTGCTCTGCTAAAACTCCCCAGTGACGTCCCCTGGGCATCACGGGGAATAGGAAGCAGCGTGCTGCTGTAGGAGATGCTCTGCAGGGCTGGGCCGGGCCCTGGGGGATTGTTCATTCTGTGAATGCCTTACATTTCAGGAGTTTCCTTGTCAGGACAGAATCTGTAAGCAGCTCATTCAGACCTCTGCCTCAGCTGGGATAGTCTGACCTGACCCACTCTGTGATGCCTGCTGTCTGCAGGGTGACAAGATATGGTGAGGATATGGTGATTTAGACACAAAAATGCCTCCTGCAGTGGCAACACTGATATTGTGCCAACTAAGCATAAGCAGTGAGGTGAGCAGAACAGCAGATTGTAATGTGTTGCAGTGGTTGGGGTCATTCTCGTATGACAGTGTGTGTGTGACTGTCATTAAGTGGAGGCCAAAGCAATGCTTGGCTAATGAGAAAAATGTAAGGAAGCAACCCTGTGTACCTGCTGATACGTTTCTCTGACAAGACTTAGTAGGAAGCAGCAAGCTGCACAAGTCTGTTGGGGCTGCCCTGCGTGCCAGCTTGCAGTGCCATCATTAATGATGGTACAAAGCTGCCACTCTTGTTTTGGATCAGTTGCTGATGTTGCTGGATGCCCATGGTGCAGGGATTTTCTATGTGAACCTGGATATTGGATGCACCCCATGCCCAAAGGCCCTGTGTGTGCAGGTGGAGCAAGGATATCTCAAAGCACGGTTCTAAGCAAAATGCAGCACTGCCTCTCAGCCCACTGAAAACAAACAGAACTGATACAAATTAGGTCGTCTCCTATGTTTTGCCATACTGTGGGGCAGAATGCACAAAGCAATGTACAAGGAGCTGCAAAAGGAAAAAGGGGAAAAAAAAAAAGGTTACACCTTCAGCCTCACAAAGATGTGTGGTTCATTTTCTCCGTGCTCAGTCACAAGACTGAACCATCTGTTCAGACAGTCATCTTTAAAAGACAGCTTTTGCATACTCAGGCATTTGCTTCAGCAAGTCGCTCGCTGTCGCTGTGAACAAATCAAGTGAACAGGGAAGGATGTGGCTGATGTCAGGAGAGGAATTTGCAGCAGTCAAACTCGAGTCCAAGGCCTCCTGGGGTGAGCTGTGCTGTGACTGGATGGCAGGACGTCATGCAGCAGGAGGAGCAATATTCCATCCACAGATTGTGTGGCCTTTGTCACTGGGATGAGCTCTGGGTACCCTGATGGTCTTACCCGCATCTCTTGCTCTAGCTACCATAGCAATTGTCCCCCACTGCTTCCTTTGGGCATGTCTTCAGTGACGTGAGCAGGTGAGATGGGAACCTGCTTTGTCCTCTCCTCAGCCCTCACTCACTGATGCAGCTCCACTTCCACTTGGCTGTGCGTTTTTCCTGCCCTCCCCCCCCTGCCCCGTGACTCAGTCTTGCATCTGGCTCTGTGCACAGGACTCCTGCAGTCAGTTTGGTGATGGAGATGTGGCAACAACAGGCTCAACCAGCTTTCGTTCCTCCATCCCTGCCAGAGTGACAATCGGACAGTCGGCATTTGCCAACAGCTGCCAGACAGATTTTGGTACATATGTAACCAGAAGGAACCACAGAAGCGATGCAGTGGGATTTGGGTGTTAGGTGGCTATCAGACCTCGTTTTCCCAAGGAATGAAGAGAGTGGTGGGGACACTTGTAAAAGTTAGGACTGGGACACAGCACGTACGCGACTGGGCAGGCCATTTCGGTCCTGCAGCAACCTTTCTGAGTTAGAAAGTGGAGATGGAGGTGGTGTTGTCAGACTCGATTCCGCAGCCCTTCCTTGTCACCTCTAGGATCTCTTGTAGGGTCTCCTGGCTCATGCAGCCCAGCTCGTGCAGGATACGGAAGAAGTCATTACGGAACTTGACTCCTATAAAGGCATAAATGATGGGGTTGAGGCAGCAGTGCGTGAAGCCGATGGCCTCCGTCACCATGATGGCGGTGTCCAGCTGATCCTCCAGCAGGCAGTTCTTGGTGAAGGCTTCTAGCTTGGTAAGGGTGTTCAGAAAGATGACGATGTGGTACGGGCTCCAGCAGAGCAGGAACACACCGGTGACCAGGATGGCTACACGGACAGCTTTCTGCCTTTGCAGGCGCTGGGAATGACACAGAGTGCGGACGATGGCCATGTAGCAGTAACACATGACCAGCAGGGGCATGAAGAAACCCACGCTGTGGTACAGGAAGCGAGTTGCCAGCCACACGTTGTTGCCATGAATCCCAGCCTCCGGAAAATAGCAAATGCTGCGGTTGCTCTCATCTGTCCAGACTTCCATGAAGATGAGATCGGGTAAGGTCAGGAGCAGGGAGGAGAGCCAGATGGCCGTGCAGGTGAGGTGGATGGAGCGAGCTCTGCGCTTGCGGTAGGTGTGGATTGCGTACACGATGGCCAAGTAGCGGTCCACCGCAATGCAGCCCAGCAGCATGCTACTGCAGTAGAAATTGATCTTGTGGACCGCACTGAGGATCTTGCAGAGGAAAGTCCCAAATACCCACCCAGCCAGGCTTTCAACCACGCTGAAGGGGAAGGTGAGCAGCAGTGCCAGGTTGGCCAGGGTGAGGTGGAAGAGGAAGTTTTCCGTGGTTGTTCGAGAGCGTTTGAACCTCTCTAAAATGACAAGGACCAGGGCATTGCCCACAGTTCCCAACACGAACATAAGCAGATAGGCGAGCGGTATGAAGACCTTCCTGAAGGGGTCTCTCTGGTTGCCAACCACAGATGAGGCCGGATTGAAGCAAAAGTAGCCTTCCAAAGAAGGAGTGCTGTTCTCAGCCTCGTAGTAACCGCTCAGCTCCACCTGGCTCTGCAGAACAGAGAGTCTGGTTACAGGAGGGCAGTTTCTGAACACAAGAACCCCATCACCGAAATCTCCCCCTGTGAGGGGCTGCACACTCCCTAATTGCCAGCTAGCACACTTGGGGATACTCTGGCTTCCAGCAGAACCACTTTCAATTCTGTTTTTTGCTGAGCTATTTGCTGGAGGCGTTTGATTTTTTACAACACACAGAACTCTTCTCTGACTTTTTTCCCACCTATCTGTAGCACAGCCTGTCCTGCCTGCTGACAGGTACAAAACGACTGGAGGAGTGAATGCATCAGAGGAACTGGGATGCCACAGCTACGAGCATGATTCTGGGAAGGGAAATCTGTCTGCTTGCTGGTGAACTCCGTGGTTCTGAATTAATTGCAGTCAAAGCCAGAAACGGAATCTGAAAACACCACTCAGACCTTGGGCTGACAGCCGGTAAGGAAAGCGTGGCAGAGCTGCTGCAGATGGTGGGCATGCTCTGTCCTCAGGCACTTGGCAGAAACTTGCTGCTAACAAAAGCAAAGGGCTCAGATGTACACTCAGCACGGGAGGCTTGTGGCAAGCTCAGCCATCACTGACAAAACGGGAAGAGCTTCACAATAGTTGTTTTGCACTCCCCCACCCACAGCCTCTCTGGAGACCAGCCCTGAGACTTCGGCATCAACCACAGAGGAAGTCTTTGCTTGCTGCTTTCATACCTTTCACTGCCAGCTGTGGCTGTTTGCACCTGCTGCGCCTTCACTCGGCAGCCAAAGTTCCCATCTAAAAATACCAGCCCTGCTTTAGACAGCTTTAGAGCTAATTTGGGGGAATTTTTTGCCCTTTCCTCCTCTCCCTGCATGTGCTAAGTCAAGTGACTGCAAGTAACCTCAAGTCCTGCACTGTACCTCGTTAGAAAGGGTGATTGCGTTTATTCTCAGTTAAAAGCCTTCCCCGTGTGATGTGCTGGATGCCTCTGCAAGCAACCTTCTCAGGTAAGGAGCTGATGTGGCAGTGCTCATCTCAAACTGCTGCACTGCTGAAACCACATGTGTGACTTCAAGGGGAGCCTGGGGGTGTTGGAGAAGGCGAAGTCTACAGAGCATTACTGAATGTGTGCAAAAGGCTTGGGTGATCTTCAGGTAGTGAAAGGTAGCAGGGTAAGCAATTCCTTGGGGAAAATGTCAAATCATAGGATGGTTTGAGTTGGAAGAGACTCTCAAAGGCCGCCTGGTGCCGCTCCCTGCAGTGCACAGGGACACCCAGAGCTCCAGCAGTGCTCACAGCCCCGTCCAGCCTTGGCTGTCTGCTGGCACGGGGCATCTGCCACCTCACTGAGCAATTTGACACAATGACCAAACTGGGCTGCTCAGGACTTGGAGTGATTATGCTGGAGAATCCCAAGGGGAACAAGTTAGACTAGGTATAGCTTAACTGGAGAGAGGTTGAACAACTCCAGTTTCAAAGGGAAAAATGAAACGATGGGTGGATGGGTGTGCTGGCCAGAATGCTGGAGCTGCAGGTGAGAGATGCGTGTGTTGTTAAAAGGTTTTGGCTGCAGAATGGTTTCCAGCGTCACCCTACAGTCAGAGCTGGAGATGCAGAGGCCATTATCAGCCACCATCTGATTGCAGATAAGATGGCAGGTAGGGCTCTTACTGTAAGCCACTCGCTGCGGGCAGAGGAAGTGTGAGCAGAACTGTATCTGAGGCATCCTCTCATGTGCATCTCCGAGCAATGAGTGTGGGTGGGAGCAAGCAGAGATGAGTTGAAGATGAACATGAAAGGATGAAACGTGTGCATCCAGGCTCAGATTGGAAGGGCAGATGACCAGAGCTGCAGGAGATGCACCGAATGCAACAAGCCAAACCTTGTGCTGTGATTGCTCCCTTAAGACTGGAAGCATGTGGCCACCTGACCTGGAAATAGTCCACACGTGGCCACCTTCACAAAGGTAGTAACAGGCAGAGCAATTTGTGTGTGTGCTCTGCTGGGGAAACACAAAAGTGAAGTGGGGCCTTTTCCTGAAACTAAGCAGTACAATGCATGCGTGCATTTGTGCAATGGGAGGCACGATCCTGTCACGTTCAGGGATCCCCTCTATCCCACACTGCAGAGTCACGCAGGCCTCCTCTGCACGTCAGCTGCTTTTCTCAGTTTTGCACAACTGCCAGCAGTCAAAACATTTGCCTGTAGAAGAGCAGCAGCAGTCTGTGTGCTATTAGGGATTTTCCAAGTGACTCATTCCCTTCTAGCCCATCCAGGGCCAGGAGAAGCATCTCGCATTCCCAAAGCCTTGTAACAGAAATTGCCCGCATTGGTGTGCAGTTCTGCAAGCTATTGACAGCAATCCTGTTCCTCAGCTCTCTAGGGGCTGAAGGAGAGAAACACATACATAAGAGCATCATGCCATGCTGATGCCTGTTTGTCTCTTGAGCCACGTTGGCTCTGTGATAAGAATTGGCCTTCAGTACCAGGGAAGACCACACGGAGATCTCAGTTGTCCTTCTGCAGGGTTTTTCTCTGTGTAGCCTGCAGCTAGGGAAGGTTAAGCAGGCAAAGTTTTCTTGCTATGGAGAATTGGGGTCATAACTTTGCAAAGCTTGGTCAGGGCTCCAGCTGCACTTGCTGGGCAATACTGAGATAAATGCCCACTCAGTGCAAACATTCCAATTGTTTTCAGCCTGCATTTGTCCTGTTGGTCAGCTGGTCCTCTCCTGTTAGTGCAGGTTTGTGTGATTGCTTTGTTAGAACAGCACTGAGGCCTTTGCAGATCTCTCTGGACACGCTGTGGATGCAATCACTGCATGTGGCAATGTGTGGCACCCCCAAAACACACGTGGCACTGCTCTGTGTGACCTATGGTCACAGGGAGGAACAAACCCTGTTTGCCATGGATTTTTTATGCTGGATAAATTAGAACAAATAAAAAGGATAGGGGAGGCCCCTTCCCACTTAGTTCTTCTCTTTTTTCCCCGTTGTATATGAAAGAGACAGAAAAATAGGTAAAAATTAAATCTGGCATTTCTCTCCGAGACAGAAAATAAACAAAAACTGAGGTCTGCCTCAAAGAGCCACGATATGAAAATAGAGATTCTGAGTTGCAACGTTATAGAATCTGGCTAATGATAGCACTGCTGTGGACTTCCCCTGAGGCAGCACAATGCCCTCTAAAAGGTACAGCTGCTGTCTTTGACCTGCAACCTTAGCGCCGAGAACTACGGGGCAGAACATGCTGTCATCAGTCTCAGAAGAAGTGTCTGCAATTTATCTTCCTCGTTTTCTAATTCCCTTCTCGTAAGTTAAGTATTTCCCTCCCAGTGAAGCCTCGGGCAGCCTGCTCACAGAAGGCAGGCTTTATCCTTACGCTGTGTCCATGCCAACAGCTGTGCTGACAGCAGAGATGAGTTTCCCTATGGGAGCCCAGCTGGGAAGCATTTGGACCAACAGGCAGCACGGAGCAGAAGATGGCATCGGCCAGGCTGTCCTGGGGAGGATCCGGCCATTCCCACAGGAGTTGGGGATTTGGGGGTTTCAGCACAGGAACATTTTGCACCCCCTGACTGTCAGGGGTTGCATTGCATTAGCGCTCCACAAACACAACAGTGTCATTTTTAAGTTCCTCCATCCTTCAAGTCCAGAATTAAGGGATATAAAATCTAAATGCATGGACGTAAGTAATTGCTCAGATCATCTTGCTCCTAACAGAAGCCATGAGAAGACGGTGACATTGCAACCAGGTCCTTCAGCCCACCCGCAGCTCTGCCAGCTCTACCCCCTTGTTCTCTCCAACAAGCCAAGCCAGGCCAAACTCACCAAGTCGTAGGTCTCTGATGAGTAGCTGACAGGCCCCATGGTGTCAGGATCTGCCTCTCCTCCAGCAGGTCAGAAAAGTTCTTCTTTTTCGGGGTGGAGTTAGTCATTTAAGTGAGCAGGGAGGGACCCAGCAAGTAACAATACAGTATTTGCAAGGCAAATGAGCTCCAAGTGAAGGGTGACCTATATGTTGTAGAGATTGGCCTCTCGCTTTATCACTTTTTCTTAAGTGTTTTGATTTTCACAGTGAAGCTTGAAAACTCCACATTCCTTTGGCCTGTAACGAGAAGATCCATGAGGTCCATAATTCCATCCTGCAAACCTCCAGTGCTCTTGGCTGCTGCTGTCCTAGTCCAGGGCTACCTGAAAGCTCTGTGCCCCACCGAAATCTCACCAGGTCTGGATGCCCTCTGGAGGTTTGTAACACTTTGCAGACACCATTAATTACATCTGCATCACCTTTATCCTCTGCTGGGGTCTTCCTGGCCTCAGCCTCAGGGACCTACAGCCGTTCTCCATCTCCTCCTGCCGCTTCACCCCTTGTTGCACTCATACTGCAGTGCAGACCTTGCTGATGGAAAGCGCTGCCTCAGTGGCTGCACTGCAGTTCTGGGGAAGGGCAGAGGCTTCTAACGAATTGAGAAGTTAACTGAAAGATTCTAATCCGAGGAAGGCAGGCACAAGCGTGCTGGAGCCTCTGTTTGAGCAAGAAGCCTGGCAGGAGTCACACCGGTGAGGAAGGTGACATTACTCTGGCAGTCACTATTGGATTTTGTCTCTTCGTGGTTCTTAGCAGGAGGCATCTCCCAGGCTGTGAGTCCAGCCCTTAGAAGTGGGCTGGGGATGAACAGGTTTCAGGGAACGCACTCTGAGGTCACAGGCAACAATTTCCCTTGCAAGTACATACTGCACTGTGTGATTGCTACCACAGATGAAGCACTGGATCCGTGCGATGCTGTGCTGTTAAATGTAGGAAAAGTGACAGAGAGGAAAACGTGGACGAAAAATAAGTAGAGATAAAATGCAGTTAAATTAAAAACAATGCCATTTTACAGGATACTAGCAGGTAAGCGACCCATAATTGAATAAAACCATAATTAAATTCAACAATAAAATTTGAGGACTGTTTTGGAGCCTGTGCATAGCAGCTCCTGGCTGAACTCTGACATTCTGCTGCAGATAAATACTCCAGCTGGAGAAGTGATTGTACATTATGACAAACAAAAAAGGTTAACTTGTATAAGGTTTCCTGATAGTAGGAAATGAGCTGTACAAAAAGATGACAAAATGCCCTCCTTGAGGATGATCTACTCTGTAACTACCAAGCATTTCAACTGACCGGTTTGACACTATACTGACTTTCTGAGCCAAATCTGTTCTGACTCCTGGATCTTCTCTCTGATGTTTTCAGTCATCTCATTTGTTGTTACCATCACGAATAAAGCTGTGCAAACCCAGTCAGATTTACCCATCTGTTAACTACTGCTGTCATTTGCTTTTTTAAGGTTGGTGCACCAACCTATTTCCTGCATCTCTCTCTGCAAAGCACAATGCCTAGCTCTGCTGAGAGCTGAGGAAAAGCACCCAGGCAGCACAGATGTAGCAGAGACCTCTCCAGCAGTGATTGCTGTGCCCAGCAGCCAGCCAGCAGCATGGCATAGGTGAGATGTTCCCCTGGCAAAGGAAGGCACAAAGTCTATCTTCAGTTTCCTGCTTCTCTCGTCATGCACAGAAGGGAAGCTTAAAAAGTAGGACATCATGTGGGAGTGAGGATGAGAAAGGATTTGGGGAGCCTTCTGCACTGGAATGATGACTGACATGGCAAGGGGTCTGCAGCAGAGTGAGTGAATAACTTAATAATGAGGCTTGTTTATGGTGAGAATACAAAATAACTACATGAGAAGGGTTCTAGGCAAGACAGAGATGATTGTGCTGTCTGTGGCAGAAAATGTATAATTGCTTTCAAATTAAATGGAATAACTGAAAAAAAAAATATTAAGATTCTCTGCTTCTATCCTCAGTGCATTGTTGGAGGTTGGACTCCATTTGGAATCACTCGGCCCCATCCAGACTTTGCGAAGAAAAACATCCCCAGAAAAAGTGAATTCATTCTCATCTATTCTGGAAAGCAGAACAGCAGCATACGCTGCATACACGTTGGTTTTGAGGGTAGAGATAAAACAATGATCTAAAACTGGTGGATGTGAGGAACAAGGAGAAAAATAAACACCATGAGAGAAAAGTGGATTTCCTTTTTATGGGGAAAAAAAGAGGAAAAAAAAAGTAAAAAAAAAAAAAAAAAAAAAAAGGAAAAAAGGAAAAGCAAAAAAAAAAAAAGAAATGAGAAAAAAGAAAAAAAGGGGGAAAAAAAGGGAAAAGGAAAAAAGGGGAAGAAAAGGAAAAAAGGGGGAAAAAAGTGGGAGGAAAGGAGGGGAGAAAAAAAAAAAAAAAAAAAGGAAGAGAAAAATAGGAAAAAAAGAGGAAAAAAAACGTGGGTGGGAAGAGCCAGCGCTACAGCTCCTCCAGCGCCACTTCGCTGCGCAACCCGCCCTTTCCCCCGGAAGTTCCACCCAGCAGGCGGACCGGAAGTGCGCCAACGAGCCGTGATCCCGCCCCGCGCCTCAGCTCACGTGACCGAGGGAGCACCGCCCGGGGGCCTACGCGTGGCGTGCGTGCGGACGTACGTGCGTGCGAGGCGGGGCGACGTGCCGTGCCCAACCCTGCCGGGAGGGGGAGGGCGCACGGGAGGAAGGAGGAAGCCGCCATCTTGGAGCGTCGAGTCGCCATAACAAGGCACCCAGTGGGAGCGAGAGGATTTTTTTACCTGGGCGAGGGGGAGCGCGGCCGGTGGCGGTGAGGACGGGCCGGAGCGCCGGGGCGGGCACGGGCCCGAGGGAGCGGGTGGGGCGGTCGCCGCCGTCTGGCCGGGCCTCGCGGCCTGTGGGGCGCCGCGGGAGCGCCGAGGCCCGGCGGCGCCGAGGGCCCGCGATCGGGGCGGGGGGCGGCGGGCGGCGAGGGCGGCGGGGCCGGAGCTCGGGGCGGGTCGGCGGCGGCGCTCTCCGGTGGCCCGAGCGGCGGGGCCGCGGGCGGAGGCCGCTCCATTGTTCGCGGGCGGGGGGTGCCGCTGTGGCGCAGCTGCCTCGGGCGGGTCGCGCCGCTCCGTGCCGCGCCGGGAGAACCGCCGCAGCGCGGCCCGGGTCCGGAGCACGCGGTGGGCGCCGTGCGGCTACCGGTGGCGCTGCCGCTTTTGCGCGGGGCCTGGCCGGTACGGCTCCGCGGCGATCCCGGGGCGGGATGGGGCTGGGGGCGGCCCGAAGGAAAGTTGTGCGGGGCCCTGTTTCCGCTGGGCCGCTCGTGAAATGGTGGCGCTTCTTGGCGAGCGGGGCGGTGATTCGCTGCGTTTGGCGAGGTGTTGTTTTGTGCTTTGGTCTGCGTCCTTTTAAAGCGTAGCTGTGAGGCTCAGGGAGCCGGGAGGTTCTCCGTGCTGTAAATATTTGAGAATTTGCTGCTGCTCGGATCAGGGTGCGATCGGTGCCTGCCGTTACTTTTCTGGTTCGCGTGGTTTTTACCAAGTTAATGGGAAGGAGAATCCTTTTCCCAAAGAGAATCTGTAACTGGTTTTAGTCAGGAAAGTAAGCAGGAAAAGGACCCGATTTTAAACTTTCACTGCGAATTTATAATTGATGCACATGGAAACAGCTGGGCAGCGTGAGAGGTGTTTGAGTTCCTTTTCCAATCTCTTGAAATGCTCTCTAGTACATCTTTTATTTTCTGTAGAAATGCTTTAGGAAGGTGGGGGGAGGGGCAAGCAGTTTTTCCCTTGCATTTTCTGTCTGTTGGGACAAATTGCCCAGGCCAGCAGCACCACTTTCTGTTCCTCTGGAGGGTTTTGAACCAGAAGTGAATTGGCTCCTTAAATGCGTTGTAAGGAGCTATCGGTCTCTGGGCCATACTTGCTTTCTGTCCCTACGCTGCAGACTTTGTGTCATCTCTGTGGCTTTAGGAATGTTTTTGGCAAATGCAGCGTCAGGGTTAAGTCGTGTGCCAAGCCATGGAGCGGTTCAGGTTGGAGGAGCCCTCTGAAGACAGTCTGCTTCCAGCTCCTGTGTGCAGTTTGTGCGGGCAGCTGGAAGAGAACGTCATGCAGAGCGTGTGAGCAGGGAGTTGGATACATGCTATAAATGTATTTTACCAACTGCTTCGTTTAGCCATGGTTGCTTAGATTCAGTGAGAAGCTGCTGTGTGCGTTCAGCTTGAAGATACCATGGGCTTCTCTGTTTTGAGTGGAGTTCAATCAATACCCAGTTTAGAAGTTTGTGAATAAGCTGTCAGAACTTGAGAGCTGGAGGAAGTTGGCTGAAGGTTTTCTTTCTTTTTTATTTTTGAAGATCATTTTGATTTCACTTTTTATGTGAAAAGGGCATTTGGAGTCGAATGTTTCTTTAGGCCTCATGTTAATTTCCATTTGATGCTGTCACTTTGCCTTCTGTCAAAGCCTTGTGCCTAACATTGTTGCTTAGAATGGTGGTTTTTCTGTGTCCCAGCAGAAAAGGAACTTGAAGAACAGGCGAAGCACTTGAGATAATTTGTGCCTAGGTAGTGTTTTTCAAGCAGTCCCTGCAAGGCTACTGAAAGCACAGCTGTTTACAGAATCATCTCTGGTGACCTCAGCTCAGCTTCACAGCAGGGAGAAAAGGTTTGATATGTGTCTAATTGTGCTGAGGAAACAGAAAAGCAAGAACTGCGTTGTGCTGCCTGCGCAGAGGTGATGTTTGCATAACGTGCTGTTCTGTGGGCTGTATGAGAATACAGAGGCAAACTGGAGGATTTGTGTGTACAGAAGTCTGTGTATTAATTGTGATTGTCTGCTTCTCTTTCAGATTGAAGCAAGTGAATTCTGATATAACTCAGCTTTGTTAGAGGGCTTTTTTTTTTTTTTTTAAAGAAAAAAAAAGTTGAACCACAGTGCATCAGAGCAAGTTACTACTTTACTTTTGAGTGACTTACAGGTGCTTGCCTGCATTGCAATAAAGGACTCATATATTGAGCAAGACTTATTTATCTCTTCATTTTGGAGAGTCTAATAAACTGTTATTACAGTTTCTGTACTGACTTTCAAAGTTTTGAAGTCTAAAAAGACATCTTTAAACATAGAAACATGAGCACGGCCAGAACAGAGAACCCTGTTATAATGGGTCTATCCAGTCAGAACGGGCAGTTGAGAGGCCCTGTGAAACCCAGCGGGGGCCCAGGAGGTGGAGGCACACAGACTCAGCAACAGATGAACCAGCTGAAAAATGCCAACATGATCAACAACGGCACCCAACAGCAAGCACAGAGCATGACCACCACTATTAAGTGAGTATTGGTATCGAGTGCCTTGAGAGTAATGCTTACATGAGTGGGAACGTGCTTCTAAAAAGTTTGCTTCTGTTTTATGGCGTTGATGACAGAAGTGTCCTGGAATGTGTGATATGAAAAGAAAGCTGTCTTTCCAGGTGTGAGCTTCTCACTGACGTTTACCTTTGCAGTTTATTTGTTGTGAAAATTGAACTTGATGCTTTGCTTTTTCAGAACGTGTGGCTGCTTGTCAGTAGTAGCCCACTGAGCAGCAGCATCCTGTTTTCTTTGCCCATTTTAAGTGGTGTGGGAAGGAACAGAAATGTAAGACAAAGGAGGAAGCACAGCCTAATCTTAGTCCAGTTTTGCTTGCTGTGGGGTTAGTTGGTGCAGATCTTTTTTGTGGTGAGAAACTCTTCCCAGTTGGTTCTCTTTTGTCATGGAACTTAAATGGTGGTGTTGCACTCCCTGTGTAACACTCCAATTTCAATTAGAGCCTAAGGGATCATATCAAGGTGGTACCTTTATGACACTCTTGTTTGTCTCTCTTCTCCCATCAAACTGCTGTTGGAAGTGTGCAAATGATTCATGCTGGTTGGAAATTCCCTCAGATCTGTGAGGTTTGAATGTTACAATAGCAGGTCGCTTTTTTCCTCCCATAGTTGCCACTCCTCCCAAGCAACGTGAATTTCTGTTTTGCTGCTCAGTTATTGGTGAAGAAAATCTGTGCTGGAGAGAGTATGTCATGGGATGCTCTAGCTCTTTATGTTTGCTGAGCTCATATTCAGTTGCGTTTTTAAACTGAGTTACTGCCCAAATCGAGGGGCAGAACTCATCAGAAGTCATCAGAACTGATTTCTGACTGGGACTGGGGAGGAGGAGAACTTGTGCTCTTCCATGTGGGGTCTTTTCAGAGGGGAAAAGTGCCTGAATCTCACTGAGAGTCAAATTGAGAACATGTTCAACATACAGTGTGTGTTCACTTGGTTTTCTCCCCAGAAATATTTTCATCTTACATTACTCATGGATATAAAATAGACAGTTCCTGAACTCAGAAATGTGGGTCTTTTTATTTTTTAACACCAGTAGTAGAAAATATCTGTGTGGATTTATTACTTTGACATCGCTCTGTCAGAGCTCACTTTGAAACCTGTGTTCTTGTGGGTTGATTCAGTGGCCCAAAAATGGGGCTGGAATCATGACAGGACACAGATTTCCCAAGTTTGCTTTGCACTTGGCAGGCTGCTCAGTGCCTTTGTTTACCATTTCCTGCCTGTTGCATCCCACTTTGCTCAGAAGACACTGGAGCTTGTACTTGTAGATGCTTTCAGCACACAGGAGCTGAAAATATTGCATGTTAATCACTGTTGCCAAGAAAATCAGAATGCAAAACAGAGTTGCTAAACCAGCCTTTGTTTTTGTTTGTTTCTTTTGCTGTAGACCTGGCGATGACTGGAAGAAGACTTTAAAACTCCCTCCAAAGGATTTGAGAATCAAAACTTCTGTAAGGATGCTTGAATTGCAGGAATGGAAGTTGTGGGAGAAGCTGCAGTGAACCAGTCGTATAAGATCCATAGCACTTAAACTTTTTCTCAACTGTTTTAAATGAGAAATTGCTTTGTAAAATTAATTTGGTCTCTTAAAATTAGTTGCTTCTTAGCATTAGATGCTTCTTTTGTGAAGCTCAGTAACTTAGTTTAATTATTATCACTCCTGCAGCTTGGGTCCGATGCCTTCTGCAAGGCAGAAATCAAAAGATGTCCTGTAGATTCACAGGAGTGTTTTTGTGTTTTGGAAAATTGATCATTTACTTCTGCACTGTGTGATACTGCATGGAGAAGTGAGAACTCGTGTCTAGTAGTGGAACATGCTTCTGATCTTCCTGCACGAGCAGCCTCTCCT